CACACGAGTGAACCGGTGGGCTGAGGATCTATACTGGACTGAAATGCTGAACTGATCATGTTCTGAATATAAAGCACTTCTGTGTTCATTAATATGACAGACCAGCGTTTAATATTATCAACCTTAAAATATCAGAAACGTCAAGCCATGTTCCCCGTTTGAGTCTTTAAGAAACTGCACTCTAAAAAACAGTGGTTAAAATCAACCTAATTTGGGTTGTTTTCAACCCAAGGGCTGGGTAAATATAGGACAAAAGACATGTTGGGTTCATTTTACCCAGCAAAATGGGTTGTTTATTTAACCAGCATAATGGGTTGATTTAACCCAGCATAGTTTATTCATTTTTACTATAGTAGTTAGCTTTTTTTTCTTTTTCTTTTTAACTTCATACATGGATAAATGTCTACTGATTTACTTAAATCCTCTAAACGTTTTTAAAAAAAACTCTGTAACCACTGCTGGCATGAATATTCCTTTATTTTTAAAAATATATATTACAGTAGGCTATAGTATATTTTATATCATTTTTAATACATTTTGCCAACATTTACGCTCATTTAACAAATATTAGAAGTAAAAATTAAACATTTAGAAGTAATTAAAGTGTAATGACTAGTCTCTGTTGTCCCGTTTCCACGGTTCTGTATCTTTTTGAATAAAATCATAACATTTTATGCAATGCATCGGGCGTTTCCATCACGCGAAAACACTGACGCGACACCCGTGACTCACATCGTATGTTAATTTGCATAAAATTAAACCATATATCGCACAATAACGAATTTTTAGATAAGATCAAATGTACAGAAACCTGTATTTTACCGAAGACATGCACCAAGATGGCGCTGAGATCTGCTCTCTCTCTCTCTCTCTCTCTCTCTCTCTCTCTCTCTCTCTCTCTCTCTCTCTCTCTCTCTCTCTCTCTCCTGAAGAGGTCGCAAAAAGCCCGCGAGAAATAACTCAACCGCTGGGTTATTACGTCTGACCTAGGATCTGGGTAACACAAGAAAATTACCCAAACAATAGGTTAAATAACACACAAAAAATGACACAAAAGGCTCAACCCAGGATTTGGGTAGAAAAAAATAACCCAGGATTATTTTTAGAGTGTGTAAATCGCTAATTTCCTTCTTTAAACCTGACAAATGGCATAAATAAAATAAATATGGATGAATTCAGGATGATTGGGACACTTTTTCCAAGTCATCTCAATGGCAGAAAGTGTCCCAAATAATCATCCTGAATTTACATCTAGATTCTATAAAAGTCTATAAAAGTGCAACTGCATCTTTCTGGGAACAACCAATGGAAACGCTCCAAACTGGTGACATCATTTCTCTCGTCCAATCAAGCGAGACGCCTGTGATCAATCCTAGAGCTCGAGCCTATTTCTGCCTGCTTGCTTCCCAGTTTCTGCTCAGATTCTGGCAGCTCATTCATCACACACACACACACACACACACACACACACACACACACACACACACACACACACACACACACACACACACACACACACACACACACACACACACACACCATTACCCAAACAGCTCCTGGGTTTCAGTGTTCCGGGTCGTTTCCTGTTCATTGCTGTAATTTATCGATGGCCTCGCTTAAAAACCTCATCACATCTCAGAAACACACACTTCTGTCCAGATCCAGGAGAACACTTCGACTCGTGTGAACTGGCCAGAGGAACTGATCATCACACTAAACTCACTCACTGGATTCGTCCATCCACCCATCCATCCCTCATCCATCCCTCATCCATCCACCCATCCATCCCTCCACCCATCCATCCCTCCATCCCTCCCTCATCCATCCCTCCACCCATCCATCCCTCATCCATCCACCCATCCATCCCTCATCCATCCACCCATCCATCCCTCCACCCATCCATCCCTCCATCCCTCCCTCATCCATCCCTCCACCCATCCATCCCTCATCCATCCACCCATCCATCCCTCATCCATCCACCCATCCATCCCTCCACCCATCCATCCCTCATCCCTCCACCCATCCATCCCTCATCCATCCACCCATCCATCCCTCCACCCATCCATCCCTCATCCATCCCTCATCCATCCCTCCACCCATCCATCCCTCATCCATCCACCCATCCATCCCTCCCTCATCCATCCCTCATCCATCCACCCATCCATCCCTCCACCCATCCATCCCTCCATCCCTCCACCCCTCCACCCATCCCTAATCCATCCCTCCATCCCTCATCCATCCACCCATCCATCCCTCCACCCATCCATCCCTCATCCATCCACCCATCCATCCCTCCACCCATCCATCCCTCATCCATCCACCCATCCATCCCTCCACCCATCCATCCCTCCATCCTTCATCCATCCACCCATTCATCCCTCCACCCATCCATCCCTCATCCATCCACCCATCCATCCATCCCTCCACCCATCCATCCCTCATCCATCCCTCCACCCATCCATCCCTCATCCATCCACCCATCCATCCCTCCACCCATCCATCCCTCCATCCTTCATCCATCCACCCATCCATCCCTCCATCCCTCCCTCATCCATCCCTCCATCCCTCATCCATCCACCCATCCATCCCTCCACCCCTCCATCCCTCCACCCATCCATCCCTCCATCCCTCATCCATCCACCCATCCATCCCTCATCCTCCCATCCACCCATACATCCCTCCATCCCTCATCCTCCCATCCATCCCTCCATACCTCATCCATCCCTCCCTCATCCATCCCTCCATCCACCCATCCATCCCTCCATCCACCCATCCCTCCATCCATCCCTCCCTCCATCCCTCATCCATCCATCCCTCCATCCATCCACCCATCCATCCATCCATCCCTCCATCCCTCATCCATCCCTCATCCTCCCATCCACCCACCCATCCATCCCTCCATCCCTCATCCTCCCATCCATCCATCCCTCATCCTCCCATCCATCCCTCCATCCATCCCTCATCCTCCCATCCACCCACCCATCCATCCCTCCATCCCTCATCCTCCCATCCATCCATCCCTCATCCACCCATCCATCCCTCATCCTCCCATCCATCCCTCATCCACCCATCCATCCATCCATCCCTCATCCATCCCTCCATCCCTCATCCATCCCTCCATCCCTCATCCATCCCTCCATCCATCCCTCATCCATCCCTCATCCATCCCTCATCCTCCCATCCACCCACCCATCCATCCCTCCATCCCTCATCCTCCCATCCCTCCATCCCTCATCCTCCCATCCACCCACCCATCCATCCCTCCATCCCTCATCCTCCCATCCCTCATCCTCCCATCCATCCATCCCTCATCCTCCCATCCATCCCTCCATCCATCCCTCATCCATCCCTCCATCCCTCATCCATCCCTCATCCTCCCATCCACCCACCCATCCATCCCTCCATCCCTCATCCTCCCATCCATCCATCCCTCATCCACCCATCCATCCACCCATCCATCCCTCCATCCCTCCATCCCTCATCCACCCATCCATCCCTCCATCCCTCCATCCCTCATCCTCCCATCCATCCATCCATCCCTCCATCCCTCCATCCATCCATCAGTGTGATCGACTTCTGTTCCACTAATGAAGACACAGTGCTACAGAACTCGGAGAGAAATTACTTTTATTACAAAAATATACTGTTTCATTCAGATGTCGGGATTGAAGACTCTGATGTTTGAGACGATATCAACCAGACATTTACAAATATATCTTCAACTTCAATATAGCTCTTACAAATTTCTACATTTAAATTAATCAGTAAAATTCTCATTAACACACCAGAGCACATGTTACACAGTACTTAATATAATATTACATAACCTGAATGATTAAACACATAAATCTAACTAAACCTGCCATTTATACTGATTAAAATAATTTAATTTATACTGATTAAAAAATACTGCTATATATATATCAGTATTTTTATTGTAATATTAAAGGGTAGGAGATGAAAAAACAAGTGTTTATTTTCATTTATTTATTTTGTGGGTCTAAATTGCCAAAGTTGTCAAAAAATAACCTGAAATAATAATTCGAATAACTATAAAATATAAAATAGTTTTCAAATGGTATTGAGAACAAACAATCATAAAATCCCCCATTTATAATTTCAGACATGCGCTATAAAGAACAATTATAATGCAAATGTACCAATGTTTGATTTTTGAATTGATTTTCACATTGATAACAGCTTGTTTACTATTCTGAAAAATCATGGAGATCCAGAAATATAGATGAACGTGGGCGTCTGGTGCATGAAGGTTATGAAGAAGTCAAATAATAATAATAAGTATAACTTATAATTGAGTGCTGGTCTGGAATCAGTTTATATCCCGTGAGACTCATTCTGCTGATATATGAACTCTAATATGAGCTCAGTGTGTGTGTGTGTGTGTGTGTGTGAACACTAATATGAGCTCAGTGTGTGTGTGTGTGTGTGTGTGAACACTAATATGAGCTCAGTGTGTGTGTGTGTGTGTGTGTGAACACTAATATGAGCTCAGTGTGTGTGTGTGTGTGTGTGTGTGTGTGTGTGTGTGAACACTAATATGAGCTCAGTGTCTGTGTGTGTGAACACTAACATGAGCTCAGTGTGTGAGTGTGTGTGTGTGTGTGTGTGTGTGAGTGTGTGTGTGTGTGTGTGTGTGTGTGTGTGTGTGAGTGTGTGTGTGTGTGAACACTAACATGAGCTCAGTGTGTGAGTGTGAGTGTGTGTGTGTGTGAGTGTGTGTGTGTGTGTGTGTGTGTGTGTGTGTGTGTGAGTGTGTGTGTGTGTGTGTGTGAGTGTGTGTGAACACTAGTATGAGCTCAGTGTGTGTGTGTGTGTGTGTGTGTGTGTGTGTGTGTGTGTGTGTGTGTGTGTGTGTGTGTGAGTGTGTGTGTGTGAACACTAGTATGAGCTCAGTGTGTGTGTGTGTGTGTGTGTGTGTGTGTGTGTGTGTGTGTGTGTGTGTGTGTGTGTGTGTGTGTGTGTGTGAGTGTGTGTGAACACTAATATGAGCTCAGTGTGTGTGTGTGTGTGTGTGTGTGTGTGTGTGTGTGTGTGTGTGTGAACACTGATTGTCAGCAGCTGATGGTCTGGATAATATCTGTGATTCATCAGAGAGATGTGAGTCTGATCTACAGTAATAACGAAGCCCATGCCTGGAGTGTGAGTGTGAGTGTGTGTGTGTGTGTTCAGTGTGTGTGCAGCTCTCGGACGCTCTGGCGCAGGCGTTTGGTGAAGACGTGTGGGACTCTGCCACAGTACGTGTGTTCAGCACTCCTCAGCTTCTGCTCCAGCGGGACGAGGAGGCCGCGCTCGGGGTCTTCATCAAACACAAACTGAGGAATAAACACACACACACACACACACACTCATCAGACCGCGCTCGGGGTCTTCATCAAACACAAACTGAGGAATAAACACACACACACACACACACACACACTCATCAGACCGCGCTCGGGGTCTTCATCAAACACAAACTGAGGATAAACACACACACACACACACACTCATCAGACCGCGCGGTGTGAGAGTCAGACACACTCTCAGCTGTTCATTAACATCATCAGATCAGACTCAGGCCCCATCCACACTACTGCGTTTTAGTTTAGAAACGGAGAATTAAAACGAATACGATCTCCGTCCACACCAGCGTTTTAGCTGCGTATTTGAATTGATCTCCGTCCACATTAAAACGACTGAAAACGCGGATCACGTGACCATTCACCAACACTGGGCATGCGCGTGCCGGTGTAAACACAACTTCATTGATAAAATTATCCCACCATGCTCTGGGTTAACCCCAAACCGACGCTCATGTACGGTCAACGGCGCCGCTGCACACGGGAATTGTCACAGATCGCTGGAATAATAGCTTGACTCCGGCGCATGTCGGCAGTTATAGCGTTGTAAAATGCAGAATTT